ACACATCATCTAACAAGTCACTACCAATATCATCCATCTTCTGTGACTTGTTAACTAAACAATTATCTAAACTTGACTTTAACCACAACACCTGTTACAACAAATATTTATCTAGTCAATCCTTACCTTTACTGCCACATTCTCAAACTATAGAATCATTCCTTATCTATATTAATGAGGTCAAACACATAGCTAACAAATATTTATATAAAACAATTATTTTTATTAAGAAAGATCATAGCGAAGCACATATATATATTCTTAATGAATTTGAACCACTTAAAGACCACATTATTCTACAAACAGAGCAATATACAAAATACTCTCAAATACTATTAAGATTTTACTCTGAATACATAACAACTAATATGTTACCAGACTTCTTCTTATCAACTCCACTACCTACATCTGAACCTTTTATAGCATAAATACAAACTACTACTTCCTCTAATACAAACTATTAACAAACTCAATATCTACTATCTAACAATTCACAAGATCTTACATTCAAACTAAATATTGTAACACACAATATACAAGAATATAATATATAGGAAAAAAGACTATTATGGGAAGATTATTACCTAACTAATAATCTACATATTGTTAGTTTAACAGAAACCAAGATTGCTAACAGTACACCTACAAAGTTTTTTAATACCCAACAATAAAGATACTATTGGTCCAACTCATCAACAGCTAAAGAAGGAACATGTATAATAATTTGCAACTACATCCAACCCTATATACACAAAATACTTATTTACCCAGGTGGTGCAATCGCTATCGATCTATTCTTTAAACATAATTACAAACTCAGAATTATTTCTGTATATCTATCATCAACTGATACTGCTGTACGAAAACTTATACAAGATACAACTATTACCTTAATACAACAGGCATTATCTAATAATTTACAACCTATTATCTTGAGTAATTTTAATGCTAATAATAATACCATAATATCATCTGCAGTTAAATTTCAACTTCTCAACTACCTACATAATATCAATATATATGATCTGGCAAATCATACAAACAATTTACAAAGCACTTGGCAGAGTACTAGATACCAAAGTAGAATTGACTATATTTGGACAAACGATACCCTTATACCCTATCTACATACATTCAAAATCAATAATTCACTATCTTCAACCTATAGTGACTATCAAATCCTAATATCTAACTGGATACTTTCTTTTGCATTAGCTAGAACTAACCACAAGTCCAAATGTAAACGTAGAATAAACGAATATAAACAAATGACTAAAGAATAATGGGAAAACTTTACTGACCAAGTAAACCTTAACATGACCCAACATAATATACTTCTTTCTACTACTACAACCAAAAGTCTTGAAAAAACTTAGCACAAAATTTATACTTGTATTATTCAAGCTGCGATACAACATATCCTCAACAAGAAATATATGGTTAAACACTTATTCCACATTTTTACTCCCAAAGCAACACAACTTTATAAGAACCTTAAAACTATTGGACATATCATACATCGCACTAAAAAGCTTTTTTTTTTTTTTTTTTTTCCTTCTCCCTCTGCATCCTGAAGGTCCTTAGACACCTTCGGATTTCTCTTACATCTTTCAAAGGCCAGAGTTATCATTTTGCGGAGATCAACAGATGGCCGGAAGGCCTCTGTATTCATCACCGTACTTGCGAGATAGCTCATGTTCCATTAAGTCTATCATATAACGTTCCGGGTCTCTGGTGCCACAGTGTAGGATCTATGTTCTCTAGATCCGCAGTTCCCTAACTTCGCATGACCCACAAGCTGGATTGTCCTTTTATATCTGATATCCTTAATTCTATTAATCCTTAAGCTGGGTTTTTCTTAATGTTAGCATCGTTTGTTGACAGTTTGCGCCTTATCTGGTCATCTCCGGCTCTGTGGCTATGCAGTAGACTGCAACTGGTATGAATCTTGTTCTTTCTTTTTAATGGAAAATCCTCTAAAGATCTTAGCCAATCGTGGTCCTGGCAGAGCCGTTCGTCACCCAGTAAACTCGAACTCGCGACCTTGCGATTGTGACCCGGGAGCGCTAACCACTGCGCTATCGACCCACGGGTCGTTGCAAATTTTTATATCATATATTATAATTATTTATATTTTAAAATTAATTTTTTTTTGTTATAACAAGTTATAATTTTAAATAAATAATATTTTAAATTAAATATTCTAAAAATTTTTCAAACTAATTTATTTGTTCTCAATAATATTATATTTAAGGTTTTAATTTTAGAATTCAAAATCCAAAATAATTTTATTTATATATATATTGTATCTTAGATATGAGTGTCGCTAAAAGAAAACCCGACAATTTAAATATGACTTATATTTAAATTTTCGGGTTTTCTTTTAGCGACTCATATATAATCCTGTAAATCACAAAAAATTAACAAATAAATTACTTCATTCAGAAAATATTAACAAAATACTATGAACAGAGTGATATAGCTTATTAAAGGGTCACTTATAGTGTAGAGATTAGAACCGCATAAATTTTTCTAATCATTTACAGACCATTTGACCATGTTAACAGTTTAATTCGGTCCACATCTATGTAACAATTGTTAAGCGGTTAAACGTTTACAATTCTTACTTGCAAAGTGCATCTACTTGTGCATCTGCTAATACTTTTCCTTTTGATGAAAGAATATTTGCCAATTCACTTTTTTCTCTGACTCACATTTGGTTAGAAGTATCCCCATCATTTTAATTAGTTCTACAAGGCATTTAAATGAATTTATCACCATGGTATAAAACAAAAAAAAAAGGTCATTATAAAACGCACCTATGGTGTTTTACATCTATTAAATTTTATTATTATTTTTTCTAAGTTTCGTATATAAAATTTTTATCACAAAAATTTCACGTTAAGTGTTAGTATTTAAAGTTAAAATTAAGATTTGGAAATAATTTTTTTTCGGGCGTAGAACACTTTTACTTAGAACACCCCACACCGATTAATTTTTTATCGTTATAAGTGTAAAACACGTTTAGTAAAAGTCAAAAAAATACCAGAAATTACAATCGTGTAATCTACATACAAAAATTTCTTTTTTGGTTGGAAATAAGAATAAAGGCTACATATACGTAGTTGGGGTGTGCGATGCACTATGTAAATCAAAACTATATGACCTTACGGTATCATGTACCGTAAGGTCATTTTCAAGGCAAAGACCCCAAATATTAAGAGCGAGATCACATGACTTAGCCATATACAGTAGCCAGTTAATCATCTTGTATTAGCTGGCTTAGCCGGCTAAGCCGGCTTAGGCATGGTTGCATTAGCCGGCTTAAAACATTAGCTACGTACACTACGTACGTATTAGGCTTTTACTTTACAGAAACCTATGTTTTTTGCTAAATATGTTTAAAATATAAATATCATATATTTACCATCTAATTACAATATTATTAAAATAAGAATATAATAAATATATTTTAAAAATATATTAATCATATTATAATTATATTGTAAAAATATTTTCTTTTTTCTGTTAACTCAATAACATCTAAGTTGTAATAATATATTTATAATGTAATTAAAATATAATTTTTGTTTAGCTCAATATTAAAAAAAACTGTTGTTAATATAATAAAAATATAATTTAAATAAAAAATTTTAATATATTAAAAATATATCAATTATATGTTGAAAATAACAAAATAATATTACCAACATTTTTGCATAACTTAATTTTAAAATATGTTAAAAATATATTAGCATATAAATTTAAGATATTTAACAGATTGTTATTTTATTACTAAAAGAAATTTAACGGGTGTAATTAAAAACAAAACTTATTTTATTATATGATAAAAATATAATTAACAGGATAGTTTAAGATATTTAATAGATAACCAAAAGATATTTAACAGATATAAATATTGGAGTGTTCGTCAATTTGTAAAGATGGCTTGTATGGATCATGTTGTTGGATCTTTGCTATGAAAATCACCCTTCGACATTTTCCAATCG